CCTCCCTAAGGCCAATTTTAGGCATTTTCAGCCCCCTCCCAGTCCCCAGCTTCAGTCTGAGGCTTTTTTTTTCTGTAGCAGCCTCTGTGGGAGAGTTAACCCTCTCCTGCCCAGGATGGCTGCCAGCAGCCAGGGCACTTGGCACGGGGATGTCTCTGTGGACCTTTCCCCTCAGCCATAGCCTGCGGGTGCATGCCCCTCTCCACGTCAGGGTGGAGGCCTGTGCCAGAGCTCTGGTGGACCTGCTGGAACGCCAGAGTGTCCAGTACGCCTCCCGGGTAAACTCAGTGCCCATCGTATACTTGAGCTCTCCCAGCCTGATGAGGAAGGTGTGTGCGGCAGGGCTGGAGATCTCGGGCATCCACTACTTGGTTATGCCCCTGGAGACCCTGGCAGTGTAGGTGGTGGCCTCCAACATCCCCCCAAACCTGCCAGACTGGGACCTCACCAAGGTGCTCGAGCACTATGGTGTCCTCACCAGCCCCAGTGCAGGCTGACCATGGGGAACAGGGACCCCAGGCTCAGGCACATCCCCTCCACCCCTGCCTCAGTCAAGGTGGTGGACCCTGAGGTGGTGAACCCCAAGCAGCCTGGCCCACCCCCTATGGGGGAGGTGCCAACTGCTCCCAAGAAAGCCAAGAGTAAGAGGCAAAAAGGAGCTTCTAAAGGAGCACCTGCCCCTTTGGGGCCTGCCTCTGACAGCGCCAGGGAAAATGTAGCCAGGGAACCTGACCCCACCCTGCCTGCCCCCCTGGAAACCCTGCCACCTCAGACCATGACTGAGGGTGTCCCAGCGACGTCTGGCAACCCTTCACCCCCATCCCAGCTCATGGGACTTGTGAGCGGCAAGGCAGGGACAGAGTGCCTGCCTCCCCAGCATCAGGCACAGGAGACAGCAGAGGGTCCTGCCACCCCCTCGCCCACTCCCCTGCCCACTGAGGCCAATGAGGAGGAGATGGAGTGCCTGCCTTCCAAGTGCCGCAAGTGGTCCCGGGAGCGGGATGACATTTGCCCCCCAAAGCAGATGGGGATTGATCTCCTGGAGACGGTCCTCGACCCAGATACTGAAGGGGGCCTGCTAGGGAGCCTGGCCATTGAGGGAACTTTCACTGGTCTCACTGGGAGGTCCCCCCACTGCCCAGTACAGCCCTGCCGGTTCTCAGTCAGCACAATCCAGCTTCTACTTCTCAGAGGACACCTACATGTACTCGTTCCCGTACTGGGCAGCCGAGCGGGCCACAGTCAGCCTGGCCAACTTCCTGGTGGGCCAGGCCAAGATGGCCACCCTGAAGAGCCAGCAAACCTGGCTCACTGGGACCATGATGGACGACACCCTGAAGCTCTTCCACCTGCTGGTGTGGGCCTGCCTCACTTGAATTCAAGCACGCGGTCCTCCGGCGGATGGTGTCCACCTTTGAGGAACACTGGGCTGTCAAGGGGGCACTGTGCTGAGTTGAGGTGGGACACCTGCTTCTTGCCCTGTGACGTCACCAGCTGCTCAGGGTGTAGAGGCACATCCAGCGAGCCGAGACCTCGGGCTTTGTCCATGCGGGTCGACGCCTGATGTCCTGAGGCCCCCCTGGGCATCCCCACTGGCAGAACTGTGTATATGTATATATGTAAATACTTCTTTTGTTCTTTGTGTTTTCTTGTTTTTTTGTATAGAGTGTGTGGGCAGGCCTTGCAGGCCATGAGCCCAGGCCTTGTCCTTGAGGCCCAGGTCTTCGGGCCAACCTGTACGTGATCTCTACTGCCCCCCATTTGTCACCCTCCCCGGAATAATCATTTCTTAGAAGTCAAAAGTCTTTCTTTCTTTCTTTTTTGTTTCTTTTGTGGATGGGTAGAGGGATGGGCCTGGGACCAGGACCATCCTATGTTTTTACAGTGCTTAGCCCACATCTTTTGGAGACTAGAAGAGCGCTGTCAACTGAAATTATGGAACAGAGTAGGAAACAGCATGCTCTCAGCCTGCCTTCTCAGGGTTCTTTTGGGCAAGCCCCAAAGAGCAACCACTGTGGGTACCTGTGGGTATCTCCACACCTACTTCAGGAGGACCAGGAGGGGCCCACGCTGGAGAAAGCTGAAGCAGAGGGAGAAGGCAAACCTACACTAAAGCAAGAAAGCTGGTTGCCATCCTGTGACCTGGGTATTACTGTAATACATTGGTTTTCAACTTTTTTTCATTTGTGGACTCTAAAAAAATTCAAATGGAGGTGTAGACCACTTTGGAAATTTTGAATGGAGGTGCAGACCCATTTGAATTGTAAGTGTTGGTATTCGCATTCTTTTGATTGATTGTGGTCATCTTTTGTGGATCACTTAAACATAGTCTGTGGACCTTCAGCGATCCATGGTCTACAGCTTGAAAACCACTGCTGTAATAGATAAGCCAGGGGTTTTCAACCTTCTTTAATAAGTGTACCGGGGGGGCAGGTAGTGAGCAGCTGGATGCTGAGCATGGGGGGGCAGGAGGTGGTGAGTGGCTGGGCACCAGGGCGGGGGGGG